CCCCCCCCCCCCCAAGCAAAATCTCACAGATGTTTTTTTTTCCCAAAGACATGTGGCTTCACTTTATATAAACTTTAATTTACGAATGTGCCTTTTGCTTTTGCATGTGTGTGTGTGTGTGTGTTGTGGGGTCAAGTATAATTGTATTATCCTCAAGGGGGGGGGGGCAACAAAATTTTAACATCTAATTTTTCATTTCCACCAGCCCTTCCCCCTCCCCTGTTATTAATGACCGGTCCCTAACACAGATGTTTGGTAGTATGGTAAGTGCTTAATGTTGACTGCAAATTCATTCTTTTATCGTTGTGAATTTTTCTGAACAATACATATTCTCAATGAACATGTCTTTTCGCTGTTGTTTCTGTATTAATTCTTTAAAAACCTTTTAAACCAACTTCTACGTAATAAATCTATTTTGCTAACCCGTCAAAATAGTTTGAGAGGTTTTTCTCACACGTTTATCTTTCTTGAAACGAATATTTTCCTGTTAAAACTCTTGTAGTTTTTGTGCCGTCATCTTGTTTTTCGCTACTCGCCATATATGAGTTGATATACAGCGAGTAGTTCAACCAATCAGATTGAAGAATAGCTTATACGGTGGATGGCTAGAGTATGACTTTGTTTGTATGTTCATCTTGTTTTAGTTTCCATGTGGACCTGATGACAATATATGACAATTACATCCATTCCGTGGTAATGACATGGACAAATGATGGAGGAGTTTTTGAATTAATCATCAATGGCATATTACAATCGAGTCTGACTGGGATTGAAGCTGATGGTATAATATCTGCTGGAATTCGATTTTTCGTCGGTGGTTCTGACGTTGAGAAGAAAAACTTGGTGGTTATCCTTCACAACTTGAACGTTTGGGACAAGGTTGGTTTCGTGTAGAGTATTGCTTTTCATTGTATTATTGCCGGGGGTGGAAAAAGTATCAGACCACGGGACCATTGGTCCCAGAAAGTATTTGAGTTCCCAGCAAATATTTCCCCAAGAAAGAAAAAAATTGTAATAATTTAGATAAAAGGAGAAATTCAGAGGAAAATTCACACCATGACCTCAGAAATGCAATTATAAGTGTAACTATCTTTATAGTGTGATAATGTATAAATGTATTGGACTATATATAGAATGATAAAACAAATGTTGCATGACAAAAAATGGGCTTTTAACTTAATCAATAAATATGGAAATAAGCATTAACACGAAAACGGGGCTCCAGGTCATGACCTGGAGCCTCATTTTCGCGTTAAAGCTTATTTCCACATTTATTAGTCAAAATAAAGAATTATTTTTCGTGCATGTGTTGAAGAAGGATGTTCTGCTTCTCTGTGCGTAGCCCATGGATAAAAAACTTGAAAATCTTTCCATTTAAGGTGGTCCTAAGTTGAAAACAGTGTAGTTGTGACGTAATTATCGAAAGGGTGTACCAGCGTCACTGTGCCATTTCAAGTGCATGACGGACTGTGTGCCAACTTATTTTTCATCCCAATTTATAAAGCGTCGGGATGTATATAACCGTAATACCAGGAATTCACAACAACTTAATATTCCATTATTTCAAAACGGCAATAGGTCAACGAATATTTTATCACAAGATTGTTAATGTATGAAATTCTCTAGACTCCTCCCTGGAACTTTTCGAATTAGTTGATTCTTTTAAACGTTGTTTGAAAACGAAGTTATTGAATGAGTTTTTGAGCAATTAGGTTCTTACTCATAGAATTAGCTTGTGATTGTATTATTAAGAAGAGATTTGTTTGTACGTGCTCAAATTTAAAACTAATGAGTGTAATATACCACTTGCTGTTATGACTATACATCCAAAATTTTTATTTTTCGATACGTTTCTCAATCGGCAAACAAACTTGAAAAGTACGTTTAGTCTTTATCTGTAAAATAATGCCAAAATGAAGAGATTTTAGATGGTACGCCAAAGACAAAATGATGTCTGAAGTTCAGCAAGTTTGGCTTATATTGCTGTAAATGTGGCATCACTTGATAATTGTATTTTAATTAACAATTTTTTTTTCTATTATTTTATGTTTCTCAACTGGCAAATGCATTTAAAAAGGTAGCTAACTGTATAAACTAGAGAATAAAGTTAAAACACACCAATTTTGAGATGTACGCCAAAAAGATTTTGGGTTTTGAACACTTTTCATCACAAATAGAGGACATAGAAAAAAATGCTTCGTCATAGTATTCAGTTATTCTGTAATTAGGTAATTGTCTTTGAACAGCCTCTATGGGGAATATTTAACAATTATTCGCCGAAGGCGAGGTGATTATCGGGGAATATTCGCCGAGACGAAGTCGAAGTGAATATTCCCCGATAATCACCGAGCCTGAGGGGAATAATTGTTTTAGTATTTTTACACAAACTTTTGTATTTTTGAGACTGAATTTATTTTAATTTCGCTTATTTCTTTGTCAGTAAACTTCCACGAAACGGGTAGCCGCCATTTTGAAAATTTCTGTTTTGTTATGTTCACCTGTAGGTGAATATAACAGCTTATTGTGCAAGAATACTAAAAGTAAGAATCAATCTATCAATCAATCAATCAGTCAAACAAACAACACAAGTGAAAACATAACCTCCTGGCGCAATTTAATATACTCGGTGTTTTTGTAATGATTTTTTCGCATCATTTGATAGGTTTTATCGGATGAAATGTTATATATGATGACGTCACAGCCAGGAAGTGATATGGGAACTTTTGTTGCTTGGAGAGATTTGAAGAAACCTGCAAGTATCCCAGACGAAAATGTTCGCATTCAGAAAGGCAACCACAACAATTTTCGTGTTCAAACACGTAAGTGTACCAAACCTGAGCACGTGTTGTACACGCTTGCCTTAATAAAGCTGCACGCGTAAAAACGCGCAAATTGTTACAGGTTTGCAAACAAATTGTAACAAGATTGTTGTGGAGCCGTTATCAAGATATGTTCGCACTGCTTCGAACAAGTTGTTATCGCCTTGTTACTTTTATCATATATTTTCAAATGTGGGTGTATATTTCGAAAAGTCTACACATATTTTTTCCAAGATTGTCTGAAAAAATACAATGGATAATCATTTTACCAAGTTAATTGTACCGTCGTTTTCGAAACATAACTTTCAAATTAGAATGGACCCTATATTAGGAACATAATTCAGGGTTTGATTAAACTTTTTGAAGGCCAGAGGGTCGGTAGACGGGGGGGTAGCTTATGTGGGTGCCCTGCTTTGAGGAAAATTGTGGTTAATTTATCCAGTAAGGTTACGTTGACAAAAAATTATGGCAATTAATAACAAAAAACTATAGGAGGGACAGATATGGCATATGTAGATTATTACATTGTACAATGTTTCATGACCGTCACATTTTTTCACATATTTGTCAATCATTAAAATTTTATAGTGCAGAATTGTACCTATAAAGTATGTTTTAATATGATTTCAATATGCTTTTATAGCGCATGTACCTGTGATTGCACAGAATTGATGCTTGTCTTAACGAAGATCTTTTTATTATTTAATAAGTGTGCAGTCTGAGTAAAATCACTAAATGTTACACCATGTTGCACCACATGTTACAGTACATGTCACACTAAAAGTTCTATATTATATTATATATCCTCACATGTTACAACTTGTTACACCTACCTTTAAAAAAATCTATAGTTCCTTTTAAAAATATAGGTGTAACATGTAGTAACATGTCAAGAACTATAGTAAAGTATAGTAATTTTAGTGTAACATGTAGTGTAACATGATGTAACGTGATGTAACATGTAGAGATTGAGATTTGTTCTAATCCATAATAGTTGAAAATGTGCATAGAGAACTAAAAACCTTAAGACACAACCACACGATAAACGAACAAAAATGTCTCTTAGTTTATTTATTCCAAACGAACTCAAGAAATCAAGCAGAAATGTGTATCTTATGAAATTAAGTTCGCTTATTTTCCGCGAGCAAACACTAAGTAAAACATTTTGAAAAGGGTGTTAAACCTACAGGACTCGAAGTTGAAGCTAATTTTAAATTTACTATACATTCCGAAGTATAAAAACATCTAAGTTTGAAAAATATGCTTGGCCACGGTGGGAATTGAACCTATGACCTTTGGAATACTAGCCCAATGCCCTTCCAACTGAGCTATGCGGTCAGTCGGTTCGAGTATGTGATATTTCGAAACAGAATCTAGTTCCTTCGATACCAATGTATTCTAGTAATATGATTTTGTCTGTGTTGGTGTTGTGTACTCAGGTGAATATGATATTTGTTATGTTACTCTGAGTGTATATCCACACCGGGCGAGCTTGAAAAATATGCCTGGCCACGGTGGGATTCGAACCTACGACCTTTGGAATACTAGCCCAATGCTCTTCCAACTGAGCTACGCGGTCAGGACGGTTCGAGAAACATCACAAATATCATATTCACCCGAGTACACAACACCAACACAGACAAAATCATATTACTAGAATACATTGGTATCGAAGGAACTAGATTCTGTTCCGAAATATCACTTACTCGAACCGACCTGACCGCGTAGCTCAGTTGGAAGAGCATTGGGCTAGTATTCCAAAGGTCGTAGGTTCGATTCCTACCGTTGCCTGGTATATTTTTCAAGCTTACCCGGTGTGGATATACACTCAGAGTGACATCACAAGCATCATATTCACCTGAGTACATTACACCAACACAGAAAAAATCTAGAATCGTGTCCAAATTCAATGAAACTGCAAGATAACCCGAGCTATGGGCAGTAATATACACCTATTTTCTGAAAACCGACCATCGCAAGTCCCCCCCCCCAGGACAATTTTTTTGGGGTTTGTTACCACTAACATATGTATCACTTGACTTTGATAACAACATAATAGAATAGAAAATTTTATATGTTCCAAAAATTTAATATCCTTCCTTTAAGGGTTTGCCTTAATTTAGAGACAATCCTGGAAAAAAATTAGTAGACTTCTTAAATTTTCAAAGTTTGTCCCCTCCCCCCTTATACAATGTTGGTATTTAGGTGACATGTGTTGCAAATCCACTTTACCTGAACCAACATTGTTTGGGGGGGGGGGG